TATTGAATGTCATCAAGAATAAATTCATCAACTAAATTCTTTAATGAAGTTATTTCACTAATTCCAATTGCTTGAGAATTTGGCTAGATATTATTAATCTTTTTATAACATTCATATTCTTAGTGTATTTATTAAACAAACAGGAATAATAGCAAATACTTGTTTCTGAATTTTATGTAATTCAATTCCTAATCTTCTTAATATCAGTCTAACATCACGAGTTGATCTTCCAGTGATAAAATATACATTTTCTAAATCTTCCATACATACACCATCTAATCCATATTTATTTATTGTTTCAATAACTGCTTCTGTCATTTCAAATGTCCAATTAACAATACTTGCAAAATTCCCAAACATAATATGTCCAATATTATGTGTAAAATTCTTTTTATATACCCATTCCCCTTCAATTTTAGGACTTCCTGATGGAAATGACTCAGCACTAAATCCTTTTCCAATGACTTGGTCAATTCTGTCTTTATGTTCAATAGCAATATTCATATCCTCATCACTTTCTATAATAGCAAATATCTTTCCTTTAAATTTTCTGGGTTGTTTTTCAATAGAATTAAAATCAGTAATAACTGCTGCAACACAATTTTCAATAAGTAATATTAAAACCCATATTACTACTGGTATTGTTTTTCTCATTTATCTTTATCTTTATTTTAGTTCTTTTCTTTTTTTGTTTCTTCTTTGTTTCATGAATCAAATTTATTATTATTTTCATAGGTATATTCCTCTCTAACACGTTCTTTTCAACCACAAAAATGGTTGATAGTATTTAATGGTTTATTGAATGTCTTTATTTCTCTAAGGGTTTATTCAATGAAAATTAAGACTTTTCATTAGAGCTTTGATTAATCATATATTTCTTATACAATAATAAATCTAAAACAACACTGTTAAAACAAGTTGTGAGTTATGTTAGGTCATTAGATAATGTCTCTCTGATATTATTATCTTTTCTTCTCATTTTCTTGGTATGTATTATTAATTTAACTTACCCTCATTTGTATTTTTTTATTATTTTTCTCTGTAATTGAGTTAGTACTAAGTCATAAGTAATTATTATTGAAGTTTGTGAATATACTATTGAATTTTTGTTAATATCAGGTGATCTGGCATTTCCTCTAAATGAGATGTATTAGTTTTTTATGGAGAAGACTCAATCCTTTTTATTCTTCTTGTTAACTTCTTTTGATGATGTTCAGGGATTTTGTCTTTTCATTACGAAAGACTAAAATATTTAACAGATAAGGAGAAATACAGTACTATTTAAAAAGGAACTTGAACAAAAATACTTAACAAGAAATGACAGAAATGATGAAAATGATTGACTTTCTTCCACCAAGAACAGTCAAACCAAGAAATAAGGGATATACTATGGTAATGGACAAGGGACTTGGAAATCATGCAACTGAAGATTTGTGTATGACTGCTGCTCCTTATATTGATTTTCTTAAACTTGGATTTGGTACATTAATTTTTACTGGTGGATTAAGAGAAAAACTTGCAATATACAAAAAATATGGTGTTGAGATGTATGTTGGTGGTACATTCCTTGAGGCGTTTATTGCAAGAAACAAAATGGCAGATTTCCACAAAATTATGAAAGAGTTTGGAATTAAAATGGTTGAAGTAAGTGATGGGTCTTATGAAATGGGTCAAAAAAGAAAGCTTGAAATCATTAAAGAATGTACTGAACATGGATATTTTGTTATTTCAGAGGTTGGTAATAAGTGTAAAAACAGAGAGTATACTCGAGAAGAATGGATTACTTCAATGAAAGCTGAACTTGCTGCTGGATCTAAAGTTGTCATTGTTGAGGCGAGAGAAAGTGGAACAACGGGAATTTATAATAAAGACGGAAGTGTCAACAAAGAAATGGTTGATTATTTAATTTCTGAAGTTGACCCAAGTAAAATTATGTGGGAAGCTCCATTAAAATCCCAACAAGCTTGGTTAATTTCAACATTTGGCATTAATGTTAATTTGGGAAATATTGCTCCTGCTGATATTGTTGCTTTAGAAGCATTAAGAAATGGCCTTCGTGGAGATACTTTTATTCAAGTCCTTGAAGGAAGGTATTAGTCTGATTCAACTCTAATTCTTTCCATTTATTTAGACTTTGAAAATTGGTTTTGTGTTTAAGAAATACTTTGAATTATTAATGAGTCTTATTCTTTTTGATTATTCGTACGTATATAATTTGTATCATTAATGAAATTCTTTATTTTGTAGTATCTCAACTCTTTAAAAGAAAGAGTTATTTTCTTTTTTTGTTTCTCATTACAAAGAATTAACTGTGAAGAAAGAATAAACAATCTTTGAGTTTTTCTTTTAACCACCATTTAATTAGTATAAATTAGATGAGAAGAATTAGTAGATGTAGAAATGAAATATAGTTATTGAGTAAATTTGTTAATAATGATAAGTTGATTTAAGAGGAATGACAAAGTATTTTAAGTGATATTAAACATGGAATATTACGAAATAACATTTAACTGAATTAATAAATAAGAAGGATAATATTGATTTGTAATTAATTAGAGTTGAATAAATGTCAAGACATTCATAACAAAGTGATTGATATGAGAAGTAATATCAAATTAACCAGAACCAGCAATAAAACCTCCATTTATTATAACCAACATATAATAAATGAATAGAAATGATTATCAATAATAATAACATAAACAATTCAACATAAACAATATCTCTGACATTAACAATAAAATTATAGACAATGTTTTATTAATAAAATAATGGTTGTTGAATTACCACTTTTAGAAAATTTGAGTAAATAAAAGGATTGAGGTGATGATAAGAAGACAATCATAAAAAATTTATAATAATTTACTTTATGTTGTTATGATGTGTGTGAATGAGAGAAATAATAGGAAGAATAGTAATGAGCTTAAAAAAGATAAAAAAGGTAGGAAAAATTCAATATGGATTAAAGAAAAAAAGAAAAAAAGTGAGAGATTAAAACAAGATTGAAAAAATGAAAAGGAGAAAAGAACTTCAAATAAGATAAAAACAAACCAACAGCATGAGTAGTATTAGCAGATCATTTTTTACAATTAAGAGTGTTCTTGGAGTTAATAAAAAGACTATTGACAATGAATATGAAACTATGAAAAAGAAATTAAGTGATATGTCAAATGAGTTTCAGAAAGTAATCACATATGTTGAAGAACTTCCTAAAACAGTCAGCAATATTTCAGGAAATCATCTAAACATATTGAACTCACTCCATTTATGCGTTCAAATATCAGAAGGAGAAGAAGCAAAGATGGAACAAATTAGTGACACAATTTCTATTTTCCAGAAGATGGAAAGAGATGCAGCAAGATATCAAGGTTTAATGAATGAACTAGCAACTCCATTACGAGCATATGGACAACAATTTAAAGAACTCTTAGGACGATGCAAAGTTGCAGAAAAAAGAAAAGAAGATATGGAATTTTATAATGAAAGATTAATGGAAATTACAAAAAAACCAGTAAATCGACAAAAAGGACTTGCAGATGCACAAACTGATTTTACATATGCTAAAGAAAAATATGAATGGCTTAAACAAGAACTTATTGAAGATACAAATAAATTATGTAAAGATTTTCAAGGTGTTGTACTTCCTGTTGTTAGAGCATTAATGGTTAATTTCACAGAAGTTATGAATGGAATGAATGGGATTTGGGAAGAAGTTCCTAAGAAGGTTGAAAATCTTCCTAGTAATGGAATTAACTTAGAATATGTTATTAAAGCACCAGGTGATTCAATGGAAAAAGAAACAAATGTTCAACAACGTAGAATACAATTATACAATAGTCCAATGATTAATCAAACAATCATGTCACAACCATACATTCAACAACAACCAACATTTAATCAACCCCCACAAAATCCTATGCCAAACCCATACATTCCACCACAACAAACATACCAAGTACCATATGGAAATTCTACACAACAACCAACACCAATAAGTCAACAACCTAACACAAATAATAATAATATGTGTAGAGCTAATTATGATTATTCAGCACAAGAAACAAATGAATTAACTATTAAAGCAGGAGATGTTATTAAAATATTATCTAAAGAAGGAGATTGGTGGATTGGTGAATTAAATGGACAAACTGGTCAATTTCCATCAAATTATGTTACATTACTTTAAATTGAAGTCTTTTTTTCTCATTGTTTAAGTATTATTTTTATGTAATGATTCATTTATAACCAATTAATCAAAACTAATAGAAATTTGCTGAATAGAAATGAATTGTTTTCATTTCCACTATATTATAAATAATTCCATAATCTTAAATTGTTTCTTTTTTAATTTTCTTTGTTTCTTCATTCTATCTATATTTCTTATTGTTTTAACTCTTTTATTCTTCATTTATTTACTCTTTTTTTTAATTAATACTCTAAACATTGTATTTAAGTTATATCCCTTTTGAAGATTTTGGATGATTAAAATCAATTTAATCTTATTCTTCTATTCATTCTTATATGTTACTATTAACTTTTTACTCTGTATGTTTGTTCATTGCATTACATTATTATTCCATTGTTATTCATTCTGTATTATTTATGTCATCTTTTCTTTTTCAATAATTGGTTAATTTCTCCCACTCTTTTGTCTCTACTGTCTGTGTTTTGTATATTCTTTTACTCTTATACTTTTTCATTCTCATTGTTCCATTGATCTTTTCTTGTGCATCCTTTTGTTGTTTGTCACCTGTGTGAATGTCTTGACAATAAGTTTCTTAATGAAGAATTATCCATTCACTTACTTTGGTATAAAATAAAATAATATCAAGAATAAAAAGAACTTCTAATTGAAGAAAATATAGCTAGAATTAATAAAATTTACAGAATTACCATAAACAAAGACATCCATTAAACATAATGTCATAAAAAGAGCATGGAATGTTATAATTACAACTTATGATATGTGAACGAATATTAAATTCTTACTTATTTTCATTTTTATGATTATATTTAATAAGTATTGAACAAACATTAGACTACCATGCTTAATAATTGACAGTAATTTTTTTTGGTTCATTGAAGTAAAGAGATTTACTTCATGTTATTTCTCTTTTATTTTTATTTCTTCTTATTTAATAAAACAACAATACATTGGGTGTGAAGATTTCAAATGAAATAAATTATTTCTTCATTGATTTATGTAAATTTTATATTCACAGTTTCATTCATTGTTTTGTTTTTCTTTTTTATTTCATCTTCAATTATTCTAGTTTGAATCATTTCAATTACTATGACTCGTTTTTGTTTGAAACATCGTGGAAATTGTCTCATACAAACTACATTTGATATTCATTTATATTCAAATGAATATTGATAACAACATGATTTTATTTTATCATTTTCTTTACTACCAAGAATATCATTTATATCATTTCCAAATATATTTAAATAATCACTCAATTGATTATATAAATAAAAATGCATATTGTGATTGTATAATATCATATTTCTTCATTCTTTTCATTCTTCATTTTGATACTAATGAAAATAAAAATGATTTTGAATCATATATACATTCATAATCTTTATCAATTTTATCAATATTAGAATTAACATATCCTCCAAATTTATTTTCTTCTTCATCTTCAATAATAATTATTATATGTTCTTTATTCATTATTCTTTGATCAAATACTGATGTATCAACTTTCAAATTATCATTATATGAATCAAATAATATATTGGATATTCTTTTTTCTGTCCATTCTTCTATTTGGTAAATTTCTTCCATTATTTCCTTCATTCTTCTTTACATTCTCCCTTCTTGTTTCTTCCTCTTTTAATACTTTCTAAATAATATTGATACCTCTTATTAATATCACCATAAATTGATTGTTGAATGAATGCAAGTATTTTTACTACTTCTTTAATCAATTGGTTATTCTTGTCTATTAACTCTTTCATTTTAATTTAATTTGATGTTTATAAATTCAAAGTATGACTGTTTAAATAGTTAAATACACGGTATTAACACATTGAGTCATGCGTTATTTTATCGTCATTCTATTAATTTTATTAGTTACAAATCACAAACGAACAACTTGATTCATATTGATTAACAAAAAATAAGAAAAAATTGAATTTTACGACTTGAAAAAACAAAAATAGATGAACAACAAAATAAACATCATTTAAACCCAAAGTGACTTTATTCTATAAATATAAAAAACAAACTCATTAAGTATTTGAAAGATGCAAAATAAAGAAATAGAGAGATTATATTTATTAATTGAATATATTCAATATCCAATAAAAGTAGTGTGTTCAAAAGAATATGTAGAAAGAAAGAAAAAAGAACACATTGAATTTCTTCAAAATTATACGTTAAAAGTAAATGAACCATGGTTCAAAGAAATTACAGAACTTCCATGGTATAATAACCACAAATTACTCAACCAAGTAACTTCATTAATTAAGCAAGGCAAATTATCTCCTATTTGTGAAATGGTTGAAAGTGATGATGATAATGAAATATGTTTTTCATGTTTATGTCAACCAAAAAATAATGTAATAGGATTAAATTGGATTCATTGTTCACAAGCAACGTCAAACCATTTAATATGTACTCCATGTTTATTAAATACATTAAGTTCAAATGGATTTAAAATAAGTCTCAATAATTTGACTTGTGAATGTCAGATTTGTAAAAAAGTATCCCCATTAATATGTCATGAACCTTCTGATGAGACAATTTTAAAAGATGTTCCACAAGAAGAACTTCAAACAAAAATTGTTTATGGAAGAAGAGGAAAAGAATTAAACAGTAATTTATAAGTAACAAAATTTTTTTAATATTATGTTATTCATAATAAAAAATAAATAAAATAAAAGTAAATAATTATTTTGTTATAATAATTAAAATCAATCCAAAGGCATTTCAAGCCATTGTTTTATATCTTCTTTAATATCATGTTTCTCTATTTTATTCACAATACACTCTTTTACAGAATGAAGTGAACTAAACACTCCATAATCTAAACAAAATACTAATAAATGAAAATCTGAAATTTGTTGATAAATTGGAAGTGTTTTAACACTTTCAAAATATTTTTTAAATTGAAGTAATGTAACATCTTCTTGTGGTCTATTTTCAATTGGATATTTAGATGATAAAAACATAGTCTTTGCTTTAAATGCACGAATTGGAACATTACAAACAAAAACTATTGGATCAACAGTCATAATTTCTTTTTGTGATAAATAAACTGATTCTTTTAAATTAATTTCATTATTTTTTGGTTGACTAGGTTGTACTATTGCTTTTTTAACTAATTCCATTAATTGTTCTGATGCTTGATAACATTCTACTTTAGATTCACTTCCTGTTTCATTTGGTGTTACAACAACTGTTACACACCTCTTATCCCAATCTAATTGTCGTTGTGCTGCTGAAATAATTTCTCGACTTGTTAAAATTTCTTCTCTTCTTGCATGTGAAAAAATAATACCAACACGTTCTAATCCAAGTTCAACTGCCATTTGTTGTACTTGTAAAAGTGTTTGTTCTTGTTTCATTTCAAAATCTCCTTCTTCATTTATAACTTGAGGTGGTTCATAAATGGCTTCAACTTGTACTCTGTCTTGTTTAAATGTTCCATATAATATGCCAATTCTATTAACATAAAAACTTCTTTGAAATACGTACCTTTGAAAATTGTCTGTTTCCATAAAATTCATACGACATAATTTACATACAGCTTCTTGTTTTTGAATTCTGACTTTTTCATAATCCCATTTTGCAAGACATAATGTACAACATCCATGTGGACCATGATTTGGACATGTAGCTGGAAAATAAATTCGAGGTTGTTGTGGTTGATTAGGTTTAACTTCTTCTGGGGCTATACAATTAGGACATTTCATTGTTGGTGGATGATTACATTGTCTTTTAACATTAGCCGCTCCTTTTGGACATAAACAGTTACTACACTTTTGTCCTGGAGGATGATTACAAAGCCATTTAACTGGCTTTCCTTTTGCAGTTTGTGTCGCTGGTTTAATTGGTCCACCATCACCAAGTCTATAGACTCCAGAGCTGAAGTGAGTTGATGCATTTTTCTTAACCCCACCTCCAACGGTATAAACCTTTTCCCCTTGTTGTGAAGATGACGATGATAATTTTGTAGAATTACTTGGGTTTTGTGCTGTTTTATTCAAATCTTTCTTTTTTAACTCAGCTGCCTTTTGTGCATCTCTTGCCATACATTTTAAACATCTTACATTCGGTCCATGATCACATCTATCCATTTTCTTAATAATAATTTCTATTTTTTAAGTTCTACTTAGTCATTTTATATGAGGTTTTAATATAAAAACTTATTTTTTATTTTTCTTATCTTATAAAAATAATAAAACATTATGAAAATGAATAATTGTCTTTCTTATTAATTTGTTTTTTAAGAAGATTAACTTCAACTCATTAATAACAAGAAATACAATACAATGTTTAGCTATTTATTTATTAATACATACAAACAAAAATTTACAAAAATGAATAAAGAGTGAGGTATTATATTATTCTGAAATAGTTTTAATAAAACATCAACTTTCCTCTAATACGACTCAAAAAAGAGCATAAGTATTGACCTTTATAAAACATAGTATATCTAGTGATGAACTTATCTAAAAAAATGATTCAAAAGTGAATTGCGTTTAGCTGTTATAATAATAGCAGATGGAGATATGATATGATTGTATCTTATATATTTCTTTTTTGTAATATTAACCTAACTTAATAATGAAGAGAAAAAATATTTAACAACTCAAAAGATGTTTTGTACTTTTTATGAAAAAATAAATAAAATAATAACAAAATACATTTAAAATAAATGTTATAGGAATATCAAATTTATAATGAAGCTAAAAAGATCTATTACTTTAAAAAGTATGAATCATCTTTATATAGTAGTAATCTATAACATACTTAGATATATTTAACCAATAAGTTTAATAAACACAATATTTTGATTTATTAATTACAGTATAATTTCTTTGAAATGAATTATTTGAATAATTTAATATAAGTTTTAATGGAGATAAGTATTGAATTGCCTTAAAATACTTTTTAGAAGAAATAAAAAAAAATAATAATATTATCTAATAATAATTTTAATATTTTCTTTATTATTATTTGTAAAATAGTTTTAAAATAATTAAAAAATTATTAAAATTAAATCAATGTTATTCCATTAAGACTTCATATAAGCCTCTAATTTGGAATTCATATTCTCCAATCTCTTTTCATAAGACATTCTTGGTTGTCTTCTTTCATTTGTATTTCTTTTTATTCTATTGTCATTTCTTCTATTGTTGTGGTTCATATGTCTTCTACCAATATGATTTAATCCTCTTCTACCATCAAATCTTCCTCTATTTCCATAAAGACTTTGTTCGTACATACGTTCTCTTCTAATAATTTCTCTAGTAACATTATCAATCAAACTATTTCTAAATCCTCTTCTCATTCCTCCAAATTGTCTTTGTCTATTTCTTCCATCATGGAAACGTCTTCTTCTATCATTATGATATCCTTGTTGGCTTTTTGTTGAAATAATTTCAAAATTCATTAATTTACCATCAAATTCTACATTTTTATATGCATTAATAATTTTATTAGCATCTTCTTCTGTTTTAAAAAGAACTGTAGCAACATTATTTCCATCTTGTTGTGATTTTAAAAAGACTTTTAATGGTTCTACTTTATTCATAGAGCATAATTTCTATTATATCAATTATCTATTTTTATTTCTTTCTTTATTACTACATTAATATAATTAAAACTATTCAATTTGTCGTTATCCGTTCAATAAAGTAATCAATTTCTTAAACTATAATTACTTGTTCACGGTACTTTTTATTTATTATCTTCTTTAAAAAGAATATCACCATATCTTATCAAATTGAACAATAACTATATACTTTTCATTTTCATTTCAAAAGAAAAGACTACAAACATTTATATCTTCTTCAGTAACCTTTGGTCCAAGATTTGTTACTCGGACTTTAACATATTGTGGTGCTGAAACTTCCTTATCATTTTTAGTTCTTCTTGGTGGCATTGAGTCTCCATTAGTTCTTTGGTCATTATTTCTATACCTTCTTGAATTTGAGAATGATCTATTACCATATCTTCTTCTTTCCATTGTGTAAGGTTTAATGATGAAATAATAGTTTTTAAATCTCTTAAATATAACCCTAACTGGTTCATATCTTATTTATTTTTTCAAGTTCCTTCCTGACTTTTATCTTTTTGATATTAGGTTTTATTTGTGCTTTTTATTACAAAAATTTTTTGTTTTGATAAAAAAAAAAAAAGAAAAATTCTTTTGACCATTCCTTGTGAGTTGTGATAAGATTTTATCTCATTTGAGTATTTAAACTAGTTTTATCAAGAAGAATTAGAATGTCAAGTGAGTCAGTACCGACTGAATACGTTCGTTGTTTGTTTTCTTTTTTATTCTTCTTTTGTCATAAGGAATTCAATCCCTCTCAATACTGGAATTAATTCAGCTCTTAGATTCTTCTGACACTAAAAAGTCCGCAAAAGAAATTGCATTAGTTCTAAAAAATAATTATAATAGGCCATTACAAGAGGTTGCTCGTATTGTAGGTATGTCAGCTACATCAGTTAAAAAACTATGTAGAGATTTAGGCATTAAGCGTTGGCCACACAGGAAGGTTTGAATATAAAACTACTAACCATAATCAAATTGAATACTAATTACCTAGTTACAAAGAATAGAGGGAGAAATAAAAAAAATAGACGAATCAATGAAAGATCCTTCTAAAACTTCTTTTGAAAGAAATCAATACCATGAGCGATACCTTGAATTAATACAATTGAAACAACAAGTCTATGATGATCCAAATATCCCTTTAAGTAACCCTCCAAAAAAAAAGTATTATTGTAAATCAACACCAAATCCAAAACCATTTCATCAAATCAAATTTCAACTGAATGGAAAAACAATTCCTATCTCATGCTCAGCACCTCTCAGCTCAAGTTTGTTTATATTAAATATAGTCCAATAATATTATTCATAAATAATAGTAGTTTTTGGTCCTGATTATTTAGGTGTGATTATTTCACAACAACCTAACATAACACCACCTGATTGTCCAATACCTGAAGCTGAGTCTTATGAAATTAGTTGTCTTCCTTCTGAAGATCCTTTACAACAAAGTTAAATGTATCTTAACTAATATAGATTGATTTTTGTGATTGAATAATTATAATAGTTAATATTATTAATTAAAAACTATATTAAATATTTAGGTTTAGTTATCATGAAAATTTTATTTCATAGAAAATTGTTATAACTGATAGAAAGAAAAAAAAATTGAATAAGCAAAAATTCATTTATTTAAGATATTCAGCAACAACCTTTTTTGTTCTCATTTTTATTATTTGAAATAACAACTTCATCTGGATCAATCAAACCCTTTTCATTTCTTGGTAACTTTCTTGCAATTTGATCAAATAGTTCATTAACATTAATATTTGCCTTTGCTGATGTTTCAATGTAATCTATAGATAAACTACGTGCATAACCTTCTGCTTCTTCTTTTGTAATAACACGAGAATTATCCAAATCACATTTATTACCTACTAAGAAGATAATAGCTTCATTTCCTGATCCTCTTAATTCATCTATCCATTTTTTTGCTTGAATAAAAGAAGACTAAATTTCTATTAGTCGATCTCTCTTTTGCTATTTAAATACCAAAAAGAGAAAACAAACGTCTGAAGTAATGTCATAAACAACTAATGCAGCATTACTTCCACGATAATACATTGGAGTTAGTGAATGATATCTTTCTTGTCCAGCAGTATCCCAAATTTCAAATTTTATAGTCTCTCCATCAACAATAAGAGTTTTTGTTAAAAATGCTGCACCAATAGTATTTTCTTGAAATTCTTTATATTCATCTTTACAAACTCTTAGGACAATACTAGATTTACCAACACTACTATCTCCTAATAAAACTATTTTAAATTGATATGTGTTTCCTTCGCTCATTCAATAGAATAATTAAATAAAAAATATCAGTTCATTTTTTTCTTTTCAGCAGTATTTTTAAGGAATTTTCCACTAACTTTTACACCATTAATTTACTAAATCTATTTTTTTTATTATAAAATATTATAATTTTATTATTTTAAAAAAGAAAGAAAACCAAAGAACAACTAATCAGAACCGATTACTTAATCGAACATGGCAACTTCAAGTTCTACTCCTGGTTCAACTTTGAGAGAAGTCTAAATTATTAATACAATTTAATAATAAAATAATTAAAAATAATTAACAAACAATTTCTTTAACAGTTTCTGGAGTAGTTTTCATAGACAAAACTCTCTTATAAATTCTCATTTGATAATGATCCCAGGTTTTTGAACCTTCACCACATGGAGTCTTTCTAGTGGTGATTCTAAGAGTTTTAGTTGGGATTCTGACTGGACCTTTAACTTGAACACCTTTCTTCTTTCCATTTTCTTTAACTTCAGCACAAAGACTTTCAACAGCTTTAACCTTAGTAGAAGTAATGGTAATTGTAATGTTCTTGTAGACTTTTGGAGTGACTGGTGCTTTAATGTCTTTCTTGATATTAGCCATTGATTCCGATCAGTTTGCTACTTTTTAGTTTTAGTAGGGTTCTTACCTAATTTTTTTTCTTCTTTTAATTTTTTTTAATTCTTTTATTATTTCTTTTTAATTCTTTCTTAATTCTTTTTAATGTTGTGTTTTTTATACATTTTTAATAACATTTTCTTCTTTTATTTTTTTTTTTTTGTGTGATTCTTTCTTGACTCTTTAAAAAATGAGAATCGAAAACGAAAAGATATAAAACTATCTTGAAATGAATAAATCAATCTTGTTATGAAGAAAGGACAAAATAAATGCGTTATGGAAGTTCAAATTAATTATCTAAAGAATGTTCCTAGTGATGATGGAGATTTTTTATTGAAATGGTCATTTTCAAATATGAAAGGTGTGATTGAGAATTTAAAATGTTCAAATAGAACAATCACTGGAACTGAGAATGATATAATAGAAGTTCTCTGTAATGAAGTGAAACTCTATGGAACAAAAATTACAAAACAAAATTTAAAATTTATGTTAATACAAAACATAACTAGTCAAAAAAAAAAGAAAGAAATAAATTTTGGAACTGGATTTATTGATTTATCTCCATTTACAACTATTAGAATTAAACGTGAAATAAGTATTAAAATCAAAGCTGAGAAAAGTGATTTTTCATTTGAATGTCATTTAACAATATGGAATAAAGACACACTTACTGACATAACGTATGCTAATAATTCAGATGAAAAGAAAGTTAAGATGGTAGGATTTAAACAAATTGAATCAGAAGAGGAAGAAGAAAATATAATACCAAAAAAGATTGATAATAGTCTTGAAATTCCTAGAACCCTTGAAGATATGGTAAATGATATTGATGAAGAAACAGATGAACAGCTGATGGTTGTTACATATCCACCATCAACTGGACCAATTGATCTTCAAGAAATTTTTGATTCTTTAAAAAATATGAAAGGTGACTTTGATAGCATTGATAATTTTATTGAATTATTAAAGAAATGGTGGAGTGATAATGATGCTCATATTGAACTCAATATAATTCCAATAAGTATGGAAGATTGGATTGACTGTGTTTGGTTAATCAAAACTCTGGAAACATTCAAAGTAATTAAATTTGGATTTGAAGAAGAAAATAATATAGAAAGTCAATGTAAATTACAAATTGAAAAGGCACTGAAAGATACAAAAAAACGACTAACAAAATTAGTTCAAGAACGTGTTGAAGGAATGTTAAAAAATTTAATTTTATCTACAGCATTTGACTCTACAAAATCTAATTTTGAAGAAGGAATTGCTACAGCTTATGTCCGTTTTATATCATCTGTGTATGAGTCAGTCTGTAAAATTAGTTCAACATATGCTAATTCTTTTATTAGACAATTGTTCCATTTCTCTATTTATTCTATTTTTGAAGGGATTGTAGATTCACATAATGTTGATGGTTCAAAAGGATTTCAATTAAATTATTTTGGGGTTTGTATTCAGAATGAAATGGACCAAGTTACTGTATTAAGAAAATATAGAGAAGAATTTATCCCTATTATTGAGGTATCTCGTTTACTAACAATGCCATTAGATGTTGATCTTATGAAATTAAAAGAAGAAGTATTTCCAACTGTCAAATACAATTTATTATTAAAAATATTACAAGAATTTAAGCCAGGAAATTCTAATCCAAATCCAATTCCCAAATCTGTTTTTAAATTTCTGTCTAAACATTTAGAGCAAGAACCTATTCCTTCAAAGTATGATTTAATTGAAAATTAATATTTTTCTTTCATTAAATTAATAATTAATAAAAAAAATAGTAAATTATAATTTTAATTATTGTTTTGAAAGAATATCTTTAAGGTAGAGGATCTTAAAAAAAAATTAAAAGAAAAAAACAAAAAATACTAAAGTGAAGTAAAATAGTAATGATTCCTAGTCCCATTCCTTTATTTCAATTCATGATATGTTTGTGTTGTTTAAATAATGAAATATTTATTTCTCCAACAATACTTTTTATTTCAATTTCCCTTCAAACATTTTTGTCCCAATTTAATATTAATAATTACAAATTATTATTTACAAATCATAACAGAATTATTTATCTCCAATTAATACATTTCTTCTTATCGACCCTTTCATTAATGGTTCATCCTTCAACATCACTTGCTACATTATTACCTATATCATCTCCAACAGTATTAATTCTTCATATTATTCTTCATATCTTTTCTTTGAGTTGGTGGAGTATTATTCCATTAATATGTATTCCATTCCAATATGTGTTAAGAAAAAAGCAAACAATTCCATTAAGTCAATCATTGGCATTATTACCATTATGTGTAATTGTTTACTTTTTACCAGTTAAAGTAGTTAATGGATATATCCCTCAAATTTTATCAATTATAATATCATTCCTTGTTCATATTCCCTTATCTCATGACCCACAATATCGTCATGTCTCTATTGTTATAACATGTATAATATCCAACTTCCTTCGAGGAACTTCTTTGTTACCAATATTAGTAATTATTCCTTTATGGTATATTTCATTACCTACAAATAATGATATGCAATTGTTTTCAATTGGTGGTTCTTCAGGAATGATGAGAATTAATATCCCATTAAAGGTATTATTTACTCGAGGATTACAACAAACAATTGGTCATCCAAAGAGTAGAAAATTATTTTATTATTTCTTAATAAATTTAGCCTTTATGTTTGTTGAAGTTGCTTATGGGTGGTGGAGTGGATCATTAGGATTAATATCTGATGGATTTCATATGTTATTTGATTGTGTGGCATTGGCAATGGGATTAGTAGCTACGGTTATAGCACGATGGGCTCCAGACAGATTATTCACTTATGGATATGGTAGATCAGAGACATTATCTGGATTTGTTAATGCATTGTTCTTGGTATATATTGCATTTTTTGTCTTATTAGAAAGTATTCATCGTTTAATTCATCCATCAGATATTAAAGTTGATGCATTATTGATGGTAAGTTTCCTTGGATTATTAGTTAATATCATTGGTGTCTTCGCTTTTCGTGACACTGATGAAGATATAGAAATTTCAAATTGTAATTGTCCAATACATTTAAATCAACCAAAGAAAAAGAAAGCAAAAGATAATAATATGGAAGGTATATTTTTACATGTTCTTTCTGATACATTAGGTTCAGTTGGAGTTATTATTTCATCTTATTTAGTAGAGTATTTTGGATGGGTTATTTCAGATCCTATTTGTTCATTATGTCTTTCAGCAATGATTTTTTGTAGTGTACTTCCACTATTAAAAAATTCTGCTTCAATGTTATTACAATCAGTTCCTAAAGGGTATGATGATGATTTAATTAAATCTAAACTCAATCAAATTGCTGGTGTTAAAGATGTTATTAAGTTAAATTTATGGGAATTTTCTGAAAGTTGTTTAGTTGCTACAACAGTCATTTCTATTTTCCCAGAAGTTGATTCCACTACTATACGTAGTGCTGTTATTACTGCCTTAAAACATGAAGATTTTAATGATATTACTGTAGAACTTGTTGTTCAATAAAATCATTGAAATTCATATCTTTTGCTTTAATAAAATTCTTTTTTTTTGATTTAATTCAATAAATTAATTAATTTCATTATGAAAATTTATTCATAACATTGTTATAACGAGTCAAATCGAAGTTTTAATTTTTTGGCATGGTTAGTGTTTGGTAATACAGAAAGGTTTAGAGAAGACTTCATTTGGTTTAACTACATAAGTCAATACCTATAAGACTTTAATTGAAAAAAAAAGAAATAAAACAAACGATAGTTGTATGTTCTTGAAGTAATTTATCACAGACAATTGATATAATTTTATCTGTCATTTTAAATAATAAGTTAATCATTGTAAATTGAGAAGATTCTATTGCTAAAGAAACAAAACAATCTACCGCTGCATCTACAGCTAACCCAAAACATTCCATATAGGTTGTTTTTTCTATATCACTATAAACTGATGAATATTCATCAATTACTGACTGTAAAGACTGAAGCATTTCATCAGATTTTTCGTGGGATGCAATATCATGAACCATTTCTTTTAATACAATAAATATCTTAAGGTCACAAGTCAATAATGTTTTATTATCTGTAGGTTGGAATGTTTCATAGTGATTGATAATTGGTTGTGGAAGATGTTTTGTTTCTTTTTTCTTTTGACATTCTAAACTACAATAATAATGTTCTTTACAATATGGACATAGGAATGATAAATGTGAACTAAATTCTTTATTACATGTTGAACACTTAATAACTCCAATCATCTCTTTATTACCTTTAGGTGTTTTAACTCTTAAATTAACTTTTTTCAAAACTACTGCAGCAATATGGCTATGGACGAGTTCCATAATTAATTTAAATCCATCATAGCAATTGTCATGATGAGAAACTACTTCAACAATATCTTGAACTAATAGTCCAGAAACAGAAATACCAAATTGAAGTGGTGAACAACAAAACATATGACAAATCATTAGTACAACTTCAATATATCTAATTGGAACTTTTTTATTTGCAATAAATGAAGAAAGGTTAAGAGCGAATGTCATTCCAACAGTTGTTATCCATTCTTTATCTTTTTTTTCGATATTACTATAAACGAGAGGAACTATTTGTGTATAAACAACGTTCCAAGTCATTTCTGAATTATTATTTTCTAATTGAATTAATAAATATTTCATTGCTTCCACTGCACATTCAACATATTTTGATCCAATAATTCCTCCCCAAATGTACATAACTTCTGTTAATTGTTTTTTTTCTTGTAAATAACTATTTGCAAGTGCAACAAGATCTCTTGCCATTTTTTCATTAGAACACTTTTTAGAATAGAGTTGAAGACCTTTTGTAATTAGATATTGTGTTTCGTCATCAAATGTTTTAATTGTTAATAATCTAAATGAAGAAAATCCTCTAATAATAACATTTGGAGATGAATCTACTGCTGCCAAATTTAAAATATTAATAATGGCTTTCCAATTCATTTTTTGAGATGGTTTATAATCATCTAAAATAGATTCTATTGTTTCTATAATTGCATCTCTTACTGGTGGTACAGCAGAGTCTGCCATAACAATCATTAAAGAATTTAAAATTATATCATTCTGTGGAAATTTTGACTGTAAAAGTCCTAATGCTTTAACTGCTTGTTTTGCAAGAATGTGATGAGGATGAAGTCCAGCTTTTACATAAATATCACATGCAATAATTAAAGCTTGGTTAATAACATTTTGTTCTCTACCAACTATCATTAATAATATTTGAATAAGAATATTAAACAAAAAGTATTGAGGAGACAATGTGTTAATTTCTGTCATAATAACAGTTTTTAAAGAGTTTAAGAAACATAAGAAATTTTCATTTGGTGCAACAGCCTCTTTAATAAATATATCATTAATAACAGACAAATGTTTTTGAAGTAATTGTTTTAAAGTGGTAAGAGTTTTTTGATCAAATTTCTTATTTGCAACACGAAGATCGTTATTAACAAATGTAAATATACCAAGATATTCTGGATAATAAATGGGATGTTGTGGTTTTGGCATAACTTTTATTTCAGAAACATCTCCGTATGGTTTTGGCATTAATCCAAGATTATCTAAATGACTTATTACTTTTAAACATGATAACCATGCATTTTTTAATAAAGGACCTTCTTCTTTACAGATATTAATTATATACCTGATGGCAAGAACATGTTTAGGACTCATTTCTTCAGGAGAAAGAAGCATTGTCCATAATGAAATATCAGAAGTAAGGTCATCACATTCTGCCATACCACAATAAGCAGTTATATGAATTAATTTTTGCATTCCTCTTAATGAGTTTTCAACAAAATCACCTGTTTCTTCATTAAAAAATAAATATCTACAAATGTCAGTACATGAAATCAATGTACTTTTAATAAACGCTTTAATCACATCAATAGAATTTTCTAATTTACCTTCTTCTTTTGTTTGATAGATTCTAATCATATTTGCATCAATCCCTGATAATGTTCTTAGTACTCTTTCTTTAACTTCAAGATCATTTACAGTATTTGGACCTATTCCTGTTAAACATTCAGCAAGTGCAAATGAACCACTAGTTGCTCGTTGAAATAATCCTTTAATATCAATATTTCCTGCATTACCAAGCATTTCACTAAATTCTTTAAAAGTAATACGTTTTGTCTTTGTATCAAGAGCAACACACATCACTGATGTAGCTAATAAATAAATTTGTTCTGGTGTCATATTCAATGCAGCATTACATTCAGCATATCTAACAGAAAAACGTTCAATAATATTATCCACTAATTGAACTTCTCTTGGAGCACAAAACATCCAAAACATTCTTTGAAGAGCATCATCAAACCTTTCTCCACTAAAGTCTATTTCTTTTATTAAATTATTTAGTGCATCATTTCCGTCATTACCTAAATTAGATATATATTCTGTTACTCTACGTTTATCTAATCCTTGAGTACTCAATAAAAAGTCAGCAATAGAACGGGAAGAATTTTCACAAAATTTATTTGAAATAAAATATTCTACTCCATCTTTTGGGTTATTGGCAAATAATGGAAATCCATTTTCTAATAATACTTTCCGTTCCATACGCTGTTCGATAGTAGAAGGAAGAGGTGAATAATTAATTTGAATAGTTGAAATATTATCAATAATATTTAATATACATTTTAATGCTCTCATACGATTATCAGTATCAAATTGTTTACTAACAAATTTTTCCATTGATTTTATTTTTCCATAAACAACATCAGATAATGTTTTGACTAATGACCTAATAACATTTGGTGCAGCGATACTACAATCATATAATTGAAACATTGAAATAATACATTCTTGTTTTTCTGTTAAAGATACTAACATTTCTAACGTTAGTTGTTTTTGTTGAGGAGTAGATAGTGAAGAGTTGAGTATAAATAAATACAATCGTTCAAAAATAACTGATAATCCTTTTACATGAAGTGTTGGTGAAGACATTACTTCAATAAATATTTTTAATGTTGGAATATATTTTTGTGGTTCTGTTGTAAATCCATTAGCAATTAAACAATCAATCAATGGTTTCTTCCAGTCATCATACTGTTGTAATATATGATGATCAGCAATTGTAAATATTAATAAAATAGATTTAACTGCATGAGCATGAGCCCTTGAATTAAAATATTTTTGATTTTCATTTGAAAGTGTTTTAACAAATTTCATTTTTTCTTCTCTATGTTTTTCTATATCACTTCTTATACGAGAACTAAAGTTTACTGATGTCATATACTTATTATCACTTTTAACATGAACAGCATCTGGTAAACACCAATCATCAGTAGAATATTTTGCTGATGTTGTTAATAGTGTAACAACTGGTGGAACACCATTGGAATACATTGGAGTTTGTGGTGAAACATCAATGAATGTTTGAATTAAATCTTTTACACGTTGAGCTTCTGGAGCATTTGGAAGAAGTATTACATGAAGATCAAATAAACTTGAAATAAGAAGTGAATATACTTCATCATGTAATCTGCAACGAGAAAGATTTGTAAAGGAAGTTAAAACAATAGGTAATAAAGAGTCTTTTCCTGTAGAAGAAAATGGAAGAATAGATAACATAGATGAACACACTAATGATAGTGTTTCTGAAGTCATTAAGTCTGGTGTTATTAATGGAACAAAAATGGATAATAATTTATTTCTGTCTTTACTCTTAAAAATAGCATCTAGCAATTGAACAAATAAGTTTTGATTTAGTGGAGATAAAACTAATAAAGGATCCTCTAACGAAGATGTACTTTCAAGAAATACTTTTGATGCTTGATATACTATATCATCTTTACTTCTATAATGAATTGACTCTAATGTCTCTACCAAAAGTGACAATTTAGAAGAAGGATCAGGTAGAGGAGAAGGTGTGTTCTTTTGGGACATTGAAACGATTATATCTTATTTTTTTTTGTCTTTTCTTTGAATTTTTGTTTTTACTTTTTGTAAAACTTAAAATTGAATTTTCTATTGTTTTTGAATTTTGCAATATAAACTGTACATTCGTAACTTACAATCTCAAGATCTTTTTTATGATAAGTTACTAAGGGATTTGGCTTTAAATGTTTCAATGTGTGAATTAATTATCAATGCAATTTGTTGATTATAAAGTTAAATTAGCAACTCGAAAAGCTTGCAATACTTCTAATTGTCCTCCTAAACCTAAACATATTCGAACAATTGTTGTCAAAAGCTTTTCAGGAGGTGTACCTTCATTTTATTCAGAACTAACAAAATGGATTTTATCATTTAACCCATTACAACAATACAAATCTTTAGTGACTTTACACCGTGTTCTTCGAGATGGTTCTTCTCAATTACTTGGGGGTTATTTAGATGCATTTCTTCCAACAATTAATCGATTGGTTAATACCCCACAACAATTAAATGCTTATTACGCCTTTCAACAAATAATTAAACACTATGCAAAATATATTCAAATAAGATTTGTGTTTCACCAAAAACATCGTATTTTTACTGGCTCATTATTAGTTCCTCACGAATTACCAGAGGAATATTATTCTGATCAAAAAACTCTTTCAGTTCTATCTTATATGATGGATTTAATGGATTATTTATTAGTAATTCCTTTGCCAATAATTCAAAATTATATTGGGGATAATTGCAAAATGGATTGTACTATTCCTCTCATTCTTGATTCTTATAGCCTTGTAAAAGACATTACATTCTTTTTGACTAACCTTGCACATATTGAACAAAATCAATCAGTTTTTACATTTTTATATGATCGTTTCACTAAAACTTATTCAAAATTGAACCAACTTTATTCAGCAGCAAAAAATAATGGTTATATTGTTTCGTTAATTGAAGTTCCTAATCTTCCCCCACTCCCAACGTTTAATGTTAATGACGAAGAAAGAAAATTATACTTAAAGAAACACCCTCATTCTATCACTAAAAATAACCATCTCCAAAAAACATTTCTTCATCAAAATAATAATAATACCAAAGAAATACTTGAACTTGGAAACCATTTTTCACAACAACTTTCAAAGTTATTTGATTTATTAATTCCTCCACAACTATCTTCAGAAGATCCAGAATCAAAATTAGAAACAATGGCTTCTTGTTTAATGCAAGAGCTACAAAATCCTTCAAATCTAGATGATATAAAAATACACATTTGGAAAACTTTAATTGGAACAAAATATTTATTACAACAACGAAACTTAGATTACGTTGATGCAAACAATAATGGAGAAAAAGTTATTAATGAACTTTATGATCTACAATCTATAGCAGACAAAATAAAAGTCTCATTTCAAATGAATGAGGGGTATGAAGAATTACAAAAATATATTGAAGAGTTTGTTTCAATTCTTTCATCTTCATCTGCCAATACTAGTGAAACTACACCTACAAATCAAGACAATGACTTAGTTTTGTTTGATTATATAGGTGATTCAAGTCATGATAAAGTCATTCAAACCTCACAAGACGATTTCATTGATGAACAGTCTTTTAACTCATTTATACCCCCAAACTTACAAAACCAAGAAAATAGCTCTAATGAAGAAGAAGACTTCAGTATTGTTCTTAATCAAATTAATGATCAAATTAATAAAATTGAAGATGTGAGGGATGCTTTAAAGAATTGTAACACTAATGGAAATGAAACAATTAAACGATTTGGCGATTCAACACAAGGACTTATAGACTTTATTCAAATAGCTGGAGAGTGTGAAAAAGAACGAATTAGAGAAGGAAAAGAAAAAAACAACCAAACATATTCTAATAATGAAGTTTGGTCAGAAGGGTTATTGAGTTGTGCCAAAAAAATAGTAGAATGGGCACAATATATTAGTTCTGCTTTAATGAATGGAGAGCCAGATGAACGAATTTTAGCTGGGTTAAAACAATTTAAATCACATTGCTCTCAACTATTAACTGCTGCTCGAGTGAGTATGGAAGATCAGTCTCCTCTTCTTCAAAGATTAGAAAAAAGTTTATGCTCTCTAATGAGTCAAATTCAAAAAATCATTCAAAACATTTTATCAAGAGAGCAAGAACAACGCCAAGAAATTAAGGAACAAAATAAAACCCAAGACAATGGAATTGAGAGTAAAAAAGAACTGATGGAATCTCAAGTTCGTGTTCTTCAACTTCAGAAAGAATTAGAAAAAGCTCAGAATCATTTATATTCGTTAAGAAAAGAAGAATACAATTAATAATACTATTTTACTAAATTCATTACTTGAAAATTACATTATAATAAAATTTAGATAAAAAAGAAATGATTAATATGAAACGAATTAAGTTAATGAGTATGTAATTGTTCAAAGTCATGCATACATTTAATTAATGCTTGAACAGATTCTATTGTAACTGCATTATAAATTGATGCTCTAAATCCACCAACAGAGCGGTGACCTTTTATACCAATTATTCCTTTTTGTAAAGCATATTCAGAAAATTCATTTTCAAGTTGTTTATATTGTTCTTCCATTACAAAACAAACATTCATAATTGATCTATCTTTCTTACGTACTGTTCCTCTAAAGATTTTATTTCTATCAATTTCAGCATATAACAATCGAGCTTTTTCTTCATTTAATTCTTGAATCTTTTTTAAACCACCTATTTTCTTAATATATTTTAGAGTTTGATTAACAGTAAAGATCGATATTACAGGAGGAGTATTGTACATTGAATTATTTAGAATATGAACTTGATAATCAAGTATTATTGGTATTTTTCGTTGAACTTTTCCTAATATTTCTTTCTTGATAATAACAATAGTAACTCCAGCAGCTCCACAATTCTTTTGTGCACCTGCATAGATTAAACTATATTTAGAAATATCAATTGGTTTTGAAAGAATATCAGAAGACATATCTGCAACAAGGGGAATAGGTGATTCAATATCCTTTCTTATTTCTGTACCATAAATTGTATTATTTGTAGTAATATGAAAATAATCATAATCACTTGGTATTTGATACTCTGGAATATATGTGTAATTCTTATCTTTTGATGTTCCTATTATTTTAACTTCTCCTATATTTTCTGCTTCTTTTATTGCTTTACTTGCCCATACTCCTGTATCAAGATAACATGCCTTCTTATTTAATAAGTTCATTGCAACCATTAAAAATTGAAGTGACGCACCACCTCCAAAAAATAGTATTTCATATCCTTCTGGTATATCCATTACTTCTTTCATCAGTGCTTTTGTTTCATTCATCACGTTAATCCATTCTTTTGATCGATGAGATATTTCTAATATTGATAATCCTTCCCAAAAGTTATTTACTGCTTTTGCTGTTGCTTCAATAACTTCTTTTGCCATAGCAGCAGGTCCAGCTCCAAAATTATGAATATTTTGCCTTTCCATGTTATTTTCTGTCTTTTACTAATTACAGTCTGTCTCTTAAATATCCAATAAGACGTGTCATATACCACTTTTAATGTATCTCTGTCATTTTAACTCTGTTCACTTTTCTGTTTGTTTTGTTTTTGATATCTTATCAAATTTTTACCAATTCTATTCTTCTTTTCTTATCCTTCATCTCTCCATTTTGTCTTTTTTACTTCTTATCATTCTCTCCTTCTTTTCCTCTTATCTCTATCAATAACTGACTAACAACTTAGTCAGAATGTCTTTCATTTTCTTGTCATTGTTTTCACTTATTTATCTCCTCTTTTAAAGATCTTTAGACTTTCTTTCCATATATCCTTAGCTTAGATTAACTTGTAACTGACTAATGCGTCATTTCATAGCAATCTGAGGATATTCTAATACAACAAAATAAATATAATTAACACTCACTCAACATAACACATATCAAACATAAAAAAAAGAAGAAAAAGTCAAAAACACAAAGTGATAGTCAAACCCAACAAGAAATGTTCCTTTTATGAAAATAAAAATAAAAGATATATATCGTTCATAAAATATTTAACTTTAAACAATAAAACACAAAAACAATATTTATTCTAATAAAGCTAAAGCCAACCGAGCACGTTCTTGTTTAGACCTCTTTCTAAGACCCTTAAACACTTCAATATTTCTATCAGCTGAACGAACACAAAAATTACAAATTCTTTGAGGAACAGGATTAGGAGGAACAATCTTTCTATTTTTTGAACATGAATCACAAACAACAAACCCACACCTTTCACAATGATATTTAAAACAAAATATTCCAAACTTCCTTTTACAAATAAAACATAAAGTTGCTTCATTAAATGGTTGATATAAAGGAGCATCAAAACCGACAGTATCAATATTTTTGGAAAATTTTTTATCAGACTCTTTTTGAATAGCTGATTTAAGATCATTAGCCCAAGTATTGCGTTCTTCTATAGAAGAACAAATAACAGTAAAAGACTTGAAAGGAGATAAGAGATTAAAAGTATTTGGTTGTAACCCATCCTCTATATGTACTGAATTTAGTCGTAAATACAAATTAGGATAAAACAACTGTAGTTGCATTCTTCCATAAACTAAAATATCATTAAACAAATAAAAATAACGTTTCTTTGGTTTTGTTTTACTTAATTTGAATAAAATACCTTCTCTCATAATATATCTATGTGCTTCAACTAACGTAAGATGATAAGGACCTTCACAAAACTTCTTTTTTATTGCTAGTAACTTTCTTCTATTATCTTGAAGTTTAACTTCATCATTAATTTCTTTAGCAAGTGACTTCAAAGACCCAACTAATGCTGTTGTTTCTTCAAACAAAGGATCGTTTCTATCTGTGTGTTTTAAGAAATCACTTAATAATAAATTATAACGAGGGATTCTTTGTATTGGTAAAATTAAATAACTCCGTAATGGTTGTACAGTCTCACCTTCATATCCGTATTTACTACAATGATGTAGTAATTTAACTACATCTTTCATATGTTCAGCTTGTTCAACTGCTTGTAAACCAACAGAGTTATTTCCAACAAACATTCTATAAACTCGTAGGTATGGCAGTGTACCAAGAAAGACTGATGATAGTCCAGAAACTAATTGATTCTTCTCAACTAAATCCTCAAGTGATTGTAGAAATACTAAATTAACACGAACAATATCTCTATAAAATAAAAATATAGATTTGTATAATGTTGGTGGTAATAATGGTGGTTCACATGACTGTAATGGATCTGCGTAACATCTTAAACACGTCATTAACATTCTTACATATGTACGTTCAGTTGTTAGTAATTCCATTGCAATTTTCTTACGATATACTTCTCTTGGAGTTGTTAATATAGTTGGTTTATCACATTTAATATTGTTAAATAATTCTACTGGTAATGTATGTGCTTCAATCGAATGAAAACAATTACTACATCTCTCATCAGGTAAATCAGTCATTCCTTCAAACCTGTTGCAATTACAACCCTTAACTCTACACTTTCCTTCATGCATTCGAGGAAAAGAAGGATATGATTGAGGGGATATTGTTTCCATCTCTCAATAATAAGAAAATCTTAAATTTTCAAGATAAAAGTTAAAATAAATATTAAGAAAAACAAAGAAAATGAATTAGTCAATTCATTTAGTTTTTGGCAGGAACATTTTCAAGAACAAATTTCTTTAATTCTTCAACGGTTCTTTGTTCTTGGAATTTCTTACTTTCTTCTCCATTGAAAACAAGAACAGTTGGGAATCCTCTAATTCCATGTTCTTGGCAAAGTTCTCTGTAATCGTCACAGTTTACTTCAGCAATAATGACATCTTCATTCTCAGTGAATGCTTGTGCGACTTCTTCATAAGTTGGGGCAAGTCTCTTACAATGTCCACACCATGGTGCAAAGAATTTAACTAAAAGAGTTTTTCCACTATTTTGGTAAGTCTTAAAATTGTCTGGGTTAAGAGAAACAAGTCCTTCTGAATTAGCAGAAACTAAAGCAATTAAAAGAAGTGCAAAGAAAGTTCTCATCGAATAAATTATTTTAAGTTCATTTGTCTTTTCATTTTAAACTTTTTAGTTACCAAAAATTATAGTATTTAATATATATTTTTATTAATTTAATTAATAAAATAAAACACTTATTTTCCATTCATTTCATTATTTATTAATTACACTTCTTCAGCTATAAACCATATTTTGTTTTGTTTTTAGATTTAATAAAAACACCAAATTCCTTCCTCTATACTTTTTAAGAAAAAATAAATTATTTTTTGATATTTAAAACACATTATTAAAAATAAACAAAAATTTGTAAAACAACCCTAATAAACTATAAATATTGTTTTTTTTTACTATAAAAAATACTAAATAATAAAAGGAAAAATAAATAAAAATGAAAAAAAATATGAAACGACTTCATTGAAATGAACCATAAAAATGAGAGTAAAAAAATAGTAAAAGAAATCAGGGTGTCATTGAACATGACAAACACATCAAAGGACATTGTTCAACAACTCTTGTTCAATGAGTCGAGATCTACTTCTGCACCTCCTCAAATGGATAGAATTGGAAGTTCTGGAGAAGTAATTAGTTTAGAGGACTTAGAAAAACAAGCGTATAGAGCTCATCCTGAATATCACCAATATTATTTCCAACAAAAGCCTGCTGATCCAAGATTACCAAAACCATTATTTGAAGAAAACCTTCCAAAAGGTTATGAAAGTGTTTTAAAGAAAGCATTTAAAACAACACCATTTAATTTAGATAAAATATTAGAGGGTTTATCAGGTCCTAATCTTCGAAATGAATTAAGAATCGAAAATGAAGAAAGTTATGAAGAAGAAGATGACGATGATAATAGTGAAGAAGATAACAGTGAAGAAGATAATACAAATGAAAGTTCAGAAGAAGGTAACAGTGAAGAAGATAGTGAAGAAGAAAGTGAGAGTAGTGAAGAAAGTTCAGAAGAAGAGGAAAGTGAAAGTTATGAAGAAGATAATCAAATGAATAGATATTCACGTTACCAACAACAATATCAACCTAATTACCAATATAATGGAAATAGTTATCCAATAAATTTTGGATATATATATCCAATAAATGACAATGTTACTCTTGACTATGTTTCAATGAGTAAAGAACATAATGGTAGTAGAACAGTTCAACAAAGTATTGAAAAAGGAAGTGAGGATGAACGACAAAAAATATGGAGAACACTTCAAGAACATGTTGTAGAATTATCATCTGATTTATTTGCTAATTATGTAATACAAAAAGCAATAGAATTTATTCCAGAATCACGTCATATTGTTCCACAAAAAATGAAAGGGAATGTATTAAGACTTACATTACATATGTATGGATGTCGTGTTGTTCAAAAAGCTGTTGAATATGCATCAATGAAAGATAGAAGATTATTATTTGAAGAATTAAGAAAATCATTAGTAAGATGTATTGAAGATCAAAATGGAAATCATGTTATTCAAAAATGTGTTGAAAAAGGAGATCGACAAATGGTGATGGATATTGTTAATGCACTTCAAGGAATTGTTTTAGAATGTTGTAAACATCCATATGGATGTAGAGTTGTTCAAAGAGTAATAGAAAGTGTTGATTATGATTGTGTTACTGAATTATTACAAGTTATTGAACCACATTCACTTGATTTAACTGAAGACCAATATGGAAATTACGTTGTTCAAAATGTACTTGAACGAGGATATCCAAATGACCGTCATAATATTTTACAACAAATTAAAGGAAATATTGTTCGTTTATCTATGGGAAAATATTCATCAAATGTTATTGAAAAATGTTTTAAATTTGCTACACAAAATGAACGTCAACAAATTTTAGAAGAAATTTACCAAAATAATGGAATTTTACAAATGATGCAAGACCAATTTGCTAATTATGTCGTTCAAAAAATTATTGAAGCAATTGACAGTTCAGAACGTGAAAAGATAGTAGAATTATTCATCAAACCTAATTTAACCATTTTAAAGAAGGTCACTTATACTAAACATATCTTAAACTTATTAGAAACTCTTGATGATATTCATTTATGAAATTTATGTTTTTGCTTATTTTGTTTTTTGTTCTTTTATTATTATTCTATAATATATAGTTTTTTTTTATTAAAAATATAGTAAATTAAAAAGTGAATGGATTAAATTAAAGAATATGTTCATTTGTTTGTTCATTGAATGAATGTGATGAAGACTTGTATGAACGATAAAGGGGTATGAGAATTAAAATAAATAAAATAATTAGACCAATAAAATATCCAATTGGATTAATTGTTTCTGGAAACATAGAATGTAAAAACAAAGATACAAAATAAAAATTATAATTCAATAGTAAATTTATTATATTTAATTAATTTTGTGATGATTTAAATAAAGACTTATATATCTCATCATCATCTTGTTTATTTACATTAACTTTTGCTTGATCAGCAATTGTGTTTGCAATTGGTTGAGTTACTAGAGCAATTTTATTTTCTTCTTTTTGAATAAACTTTGTTTTATTTTGTTTTTGATCAAAGAGTTTACAATGAAGTTCCATTTGTTTCTCCATCTCTTCTAGTGGAAGATTTAATGGAATAAATTCCAATCCTTCTGTTTCACACAATGGGCATTTATTTCCATTAATTGATTTGATTTCATCAAGAGCTAATTTAGAAATAACACATCCACATTTGAGAGCTACAAATTGATGACCTGGACTAAACTCTACTTTCTTTAATGGACAAACAATAATTCCATTACTCCATTCGATATTTAATTCAATAAAATCTTTTTTACTATGAATATATCTTAATTCTTCAGGCATTTCATGATTAATTAATGCCTTTAATAATCCATCTTTATTGTATAACCTCCCAACAACATCACAAACAACTCGTTTCTTAAACAGTTTGTGTGTTAAAGAACAATAACGATATCTATCTTCAGTGTTACATTTTTTAGTTTCTTTTTTTTTATCTTTTACAAGGTCATCTCTTCGAGCAACAACACCACCATCACATCCCATTCTTCACTCAATTAAATAAATTTTATTTGTTCTTCTTATTTTTTATTCTTTTATAATAATTATTATAAATTTATTATAAATTTATAGTTTTAAAAAGAGAGTAATATCTCCTGTAGAAAGGAGAACATGAAAAGATTATGAACAATAAATTAGGTTTGAACTTAAAAAGTTGCTTGATCTTTTGTTTTCTCACTTAAAAATTTTATTACAAAATGTTAGGTGGCTTTGGTGCTTTTAGTTCAAACAACCCTTCTTCAAATAACGGTTCACAACAATTCAATACTATGGGAAGTACTGGTAACTCAATACCTAACATGGGAACAAACTCATTTGGAGGAAATGGATTAGGTACAAATACAATGGGAGGAAATACATTTGGAACAAACCCATTAGGAGGAAATGGATTAAGTACAAATGCGTTTGGAGGAAATACATTTGGAACAAACTCATTAGGAGGAAATGGATTAAGTACAAATACAATGGGAGGAAATGGATTAGGCACAAATACTTTTGGAGGAAATGGATTAGGCACAAATACTTTTGGAGGAAATGGATTAGGAACAAACATGATTGGAGGAAATGGATTAGGTACAAACTCATTAGGAGGAAATGGATTAGGTACAAATACAATGGGAGGAAATACATTTGGAACAAACTCATTAGGAGGAAATACATTTGGAACAAACTCATTAGGAGGAAATGGATTAGGAACAAACGTGATGGGTGGAAATGGATTAGGAACAAACATGATGGGAGGAAATACATTTGGAACAAATGGACAAGGAACAAACACAGGAATAGGAACACCCACACCACAAGATTTTACTAAATCACGATTTCCAACAGAGAGTATTAAAAACAGAGAGTCAATTCAAATTATTCCAGAAAGTAATAAAATCAAAAGAGAAAAGAAGAAACAAGAAGTTACAACACCAACTATAATTAATGAAACAAATGAAAACAAGTCAAAATTAGATGATGTATTTGATCTTTCTAGGAAAAACACAACAAACGAACAACCACTTTTCTTAAGACGATTTAACCAAACATTTAATTCACCATATAGAAGGAATGGAATGGTACCGTTAATACGTCCTTCATATATTAATAATTCAACACAAAGACAATCAATTTATTCATGTAATCCCATAGGAACATTAAATCCAAGTTATAATTGTAATATCAACAATAGCATAGTGACTTCCATTCCTGGAAATATTTCAAGAAATAGTATTTTACCAAATACAACTATAAACAACCAAACAAGTATTCTTTTTAATAACAATCAACAATCTGTATTATATGGACTTAATCAAGGAAATAATTCTATATTATCAAATAGTCCAATAGTGCAAAATATAAAAGAATATGCTATTATTTTATCTAACTTAACAATTCAAGACACACCATTAATTATAAATGTATTGTCTCAATTTGGAGTTATTGTTAATGTTATTGAATGGAAAAATGGAGTTAAAGTGATATTTGCAGATGAGACAGTTGTTAATTATTTAATTGATATGAAAAAAATAATGATCGCAGGAAAAATGTGTTACATCAGTGATCCAAATGAATCATTCTTATTAAAACTCTTTGATGGACAAACATGGAAAAGTTTATTTTCTAATTTATTTAATTTCCTTCATTCAATTTGGAATTAATTGAATCATTTATAAGTGAAATAATGGAACTTTGAGTTTATTATTTTTAATTAAAATAAAAAATAAGATAATAATAATAATTAATTATGTGTTAATAGAATTAGTTTCGATTGTTACTGGCTCAACCGAGACTAGTCCTGTCTATAACCATTCTTCTGATAGATTTACTGAGTATATTTAGTTGTAGTAGAACTATTGTTTCATTCCATTATTCAGGTTTTTAATTTCATTATTTTTAACTTCTTTTATAATGTCAATTTTATTTTTTTCAATTCTTTATTTAATTAATAATTTATGTATTTATTATTCATTGTTTCAATCTATTATTCATTTTATTTTAACATCTCTATTTCTCTATTTCTTTATTCATTTATCTCCATTCTTATTGTGATATACATTAATAATATCAATTATTAGATTTAAATTTTATTCTTTTTATCTATTACTTATATTTTATCTTTGTATTTTATTACTTTTATATTGTGTCAAGAATATTTCCAGTTACTAATTTTCATTATACTTAAATTTAATTCATTTAATGTTATTATGACACTATCATAATTTCTATATCTTTCATTCCACGAGGTGATTTGTTTTATTTTCCAATTTTCTTTATTTAATCTCACCTGTGTTTCGTATAACAATTTCAAATATTCTAAAGTAATCTCGTTATTTGGGTATATTTCTTTTTTTGGGTCTTTCTTCCTTATTCTAATTTTCTTGTTAGAATCAATCATGATTTTATTTGTATTGATTCTGATTATTTCATTTTTATTAAATTTAATTCTTTCTTTTATTATTGTCATCATATATTTTAGGTACTTTATTCTTTCTAGTGCTTTAACTTTTATTCCTTCTTCATCATTTTCTTTTAATTTCATGATGCACTTTATTCTGTACCATTTCCTTCCCTTGACTAAATCTTCTAGTCTATTTATTTTCTTTAGGATTTCTTTAATTTCATCAAATTTATCTCCTATTATTTTATTTTGGAGATAGAGGTGCATACACATTGAAATATTCATATCATCTTGTAGATCCTGCACTCTAATTCCTGACCATATCCATCTATTATTAATTTCCATTATTAATCGGTCAGCTTCTTTTCTTTTCCAGTAGTAATTAATGTTTGAACATTTTTCTACTTTCATTTCTTTCACTTTATTGATGAGAGTGTTAAGATATTCTTCATCAATTTCTGTAGAGTTATTCTTTAATATGATGTTTTTTATTATTGAATCACACTCTACTCTTCTATTATATCATTTACTTTCACTTTAATGTACCGTTTAGTGCTTTCTTTTATTTTATGTGATATTTTAATATATTTAATATATTCTTTTTCATTATTGACATTGATGTTTAACACTTTTATTATACTTTCAATTTGTTCCCATCTTAATTTCTTATATAATTTCTTATTCAACCAATTAATTGCAAAACAATACATCACTTCAATTAAATTTCTATTTCTTTCTTTTGTTGTATTTCTTGTCTGATTATCATCTCCTGTTTTTTGACAATCAGTGCTTTGCTTTTCTCTTCGATTTCCACTACTGTCTTTTTCATAGGAGTAGTTTCGTTCATCTCCATCGTTCCTGATGATGTTTTCCTCAGTACTGGTTGTGTATTTATCACAAGTGTCATCGTTTTCTTCTTCTCTAGTTCCTTCTGTGAGATAAAATTTTCAATATCATCTTGTTGTTTTGATATTATTTGTTTTTGTGTCTCATTTTCTTTTTGGGTGTTGTCTAATTCTTCTCTTGTTGTTTCTGCAATTTCTTGGTTTTTAATTGCAATTTCTTGATATTCAGAGATTTGTTTTTCTTTATCTCTTATTTCTTTCTTTAATTCTTTAGTATTTTCCTTTATCATTTCAATTTTCTTCTCTAATGTGTTTGCATTTTGTTCTAGCATTTTGTTTCTCTTTTTCAACTTTTCAATTTCTTCCTTCATTCCTTCATTTTCTTTTTCAATCTTCTTTTTATTAGCTTGGATACTTCGGATTTTTTCTTCTTTATTATTTACTTCTGTGATTTTCTTTCCTTCTATCTCATTTATTTTTCCTTGTAGTTTTAAGTTTTCTTCTTCTAATTTTTCATTTTCTTTCTTCATTTCTTCATAATTCGTTTGAATCTTTCTATTTTGTGGTTTCATTTCTGTAATTTCTTCTTCAAATTCTTTCCTAACTATTTCTTTTGCTTTTCTCATCATTTCTTCTGAGATGGCTTGTTCTTCTTCCATTCTTTTCATACTTAATTCTTTAAGTTTTCCTTGTAATTCAGTAATTTGATTTTTCAGAGTAAGTATTTCTTCTTTTTCTTTTTCTTCTTCTATCTTTTCTTCTTTATTTTCCATTTCTTCTTGTACTTTCTTTATACTTTCTTTGCTATTTATTATTCTTGCAATTTTACATCTATCATTCATTTCTTTAATTGGGTTTTTGTTTTTAATTTCTGCTTCTATAGCCTTAATGTCTTTTCCTCCCAATCTTTTGTTTTTTCTTTAAACTCTTCTTTCGTCTTTTCAATTATCTTTTTCTTTTTGATTGAATATACTTCTTGAAGAATATCATACCATCTTTTCTTCTTACCTTCATATTTTTTAAGTATTTCTTCGTATTCTCCTTCTTTCCATTCACTTGTTATATTTTTTATTCTTTCTTGTATCTCATTTATTGTTAGCCATTTGTATTTGTTATTTGTATAATCTTTATTATTATTGTATTTACCTTGTTTTTTATTTGTTTTTCTTTGTGTCTTTCGTCTTCTAAACCCTTTTTCCTTGGTGTATCGTTTATTTTTATTATTATAATTGTTATGCTATTTATTGCTATTGACATTTCTTTTTTTATTGTATGACCTTGGATTTCTATGTCTTGTTTGCTTTTCTTTACAAGACTCAAAGGTTTTACACAATAGCCATGGCATTAAAATTTGTTGTATTTCCTGCATTGGAAAAGGATCTTATTATTGAAGTTTATAAAGAAAATAATAAAACAAAATCACATTGTGATCAATCTACATTTGAATATGAAGGAATAACAAATGCACTTTTTGGAAAACAATATTTCACACCAAAACGAATCATAGTAATTGAAATGGAATGATTCAATCTTGATTAATTGAAAATGAAATAAAAAAGAATAAAAACAAATCAATGAAGAATATGAACAACCATTTCATTCATCTGCCAATGAATGAAATGGTGAATTAAAAATAGACATAATTCAATGTTGATTTATTTTATTTCATTTAATGAAATATTCACACCCAATGAGGGTGTTTTTAATAAATAATAAAAGAAATAAGAATAAAAGAGAAATAAGATAAAATGAATAAACAATTTATTTGTATTATTTCATTGAATTAATTCATTATGAATCAAATGAATAAAATAATAGAAATAAGAATAAACAAATAAAGAAATAATAAAATACATCAACATATTTATGTTATTATTTCTTCATTCTTATTTTATATTTAAACAATAATAAACAAAACATAATAAGAAAGATAAATAAGAATAACACAACATAAAATAAATAATAATAATAAAATATACAACAAACAAGAAATAACAAATGATAAAAGATGAACTAAATAAAATAACAACATGAATAAAGAAAATAGAATAAATAGAATAAATTAAGTGATGTTTAGAAAAGAGGAAATGACAAAAAGAAGAAATGAATGATGTTTATAAAAGATAAAAATAAAATAATAAATATAAAATCAAAACTAAAATAACATAATAATATAATAACAATATCATTGATTTTATCTTATTTTATTCTTATTTTATTTATCTTCTTTTATTATTTTTATTCTTCTATTTTATTAAATGAAAATGAATGAGTAACGACTCTAAGAATGAAAATAAGAAACAACACACAAACATTAATACAAAATCAAACAATGAAATATCAAATAATAATTGAATATGATGAAGTAATTTAATAAGAAATATAATAAATAATAATAATAGAAAGAATGAAATAAAATAATATGAAATAATAATAAGAAAAGAAAATGATATAAATGATGATATTAATAATAAATGAACTTATATATAATAATATAATGATAATGAAATATTCATTCAATATAAAATAAGAAATAAAGAAAGAAGATGAAATGTTATTTAAAATGAAAAACAAATTAGAAGATAAAAAGAAAGAAATAAAACAAAATAAAATAAAATGATTTATTCATAAAATACCTAGAAAATCTAAATAATAAATAAAACAAATAAATTACTCATTTTAATGATGGATAAAGTTATTAATATCCATTAATCAATGAATAAATGACAATTCTATTAACACTTAATTAATTCTTTATTATTATTATTTGATAAACATGAAGTTTCTTGAATATAAATTATTCTTATTATCTGTTTTACTTTCTATATTTTTAACCCTAAAACATTTTTCCTTTTTTTGTTAAAATTTACAATACCTAAATAAAAGAAAATTTAAATTTCAATTCAATAAGAATTTATGAATAAAGTTCAATTAGAAAAAGTGTATTTAGCAAATGTAATATTGTATGCTGATTCATTAGAAACAGTGAA